GCAAGAGTACTGTTTTCCCTGAACAGAAGGTTCAGGACAGCTGTAAAGTAGAGTTTGCATCCTCTGATATGCAAAAGATCAGCATCTTTAGGAGGAGCTGTGCCTCAGCGGGCAAGCACCTGTTCTGCATGCAGACAATGCCACACTCAAATCTCCAGCATCTCCAGGTAGAGGTAGGAAGGAACTTTGCCCAAAACTCAGTAGCTGAATGCCATCCTAGTCTGTCTATCAAGCAGATGTCTGCTGACTCTGCCCATGTTACATTTCATTCTGCCTAGTAATAAGTTGTTTTAAAAATTAAAATTATCAGTTGCAGATAATAAAATGACTGCACAATCCAACCATTGGGTGGAGGGAGACTTTGGTATGCAATGAAACTGTATCTTTCAGGAACCAGGTCTGTGTTAGAGGAAAAGAAAAGAAGAAGTGGAGCAGGGCAAACTCACCAATAGAATTTAACCTTTTTTCAGCAGGGAGAGAGGCAAAGAAGGGCCTTTTTTAAATAAAAAAAAGTTATTGCATCACCTGGAAAAGAAATGCTGAGTTCCCAGGAATATAGTATAAACATCATTATTAAAGAAATGACATAATCGTGGAAAGTTAAGCTAAGGAGATAACTGTTACTAACGAAACAAAAAGGAAGCAAAGCAAACAGGAAGAGAGTGGGGCAGGTCAAATGCAGGAGAAAAAATCCTTTTAGATCCTAAAAGCCTCCCTCCCACTGATACTCAGTGTTACAATACATAAAAGATTGTTATTATCAAAAACATAAAACTTGAAACATGCAATGTAGCCATTTCAGGTTTAATTTATATTACACAACACAAAAGAAAAAGTACAATATTGTATTTGTGGATGTGAGCAGGGGATATTATGCAGTACAGGCTGCCCACACACAAAACAAAATCAATTCATAATGATTTCAGAGGATTAGTTCTCATGCTTTAATACCCGTTGACACAGACACATAAAATTATGCTAGGAGAGTCGGCACTTTACCTGACCACTCTCACACCTAGCTATGTAGCCAGTTTGGTTTCATATAATTCCCTCAACGGAGGGAATCTATCCATTTTACATGTTACAAACATGACAACTCTCCATTGTCATAGTGAAACATGGTCATGCTATACAAGGGAACACGTATTTATTTATTTATTTATTTATTTATTTATTTATTTATTTATCTATTTATTTAACTCAAGATAGTTTATGGGAAAGTCATGTAATTAAAAACAGTACTAATAATTTACCTTTAAAAAGTTTTTTAAAAAGCAAATCAGCTAAGATATTATAATTGGAGGTTCTTAATTGCTAAAGGAGATGGCTAGAATAAACATTGACATCCTGGGCGTTAGTGAACTAAAATGGACGGGAATGGGCAAATTCAATGCAGACGATTATCATATCTACTATTGTGGACAAGAATCCCGTAGAAGGAATGGAGTAGCCCTCATAGTCAACAAAAGAGTGGGAAAAGCTGTACTGGGATACAATCTCAAAAATG